CACAAATCACACACACATACACACTCAGGCTGAGGTTGACTCATCACTGGGCAGGGTAAGGGAGGGGCACTAATGCAAAGGATCATCTGAAATAGCTCAGTACACATACGCACACACATATATCAACACTTAAAGACACACACCCCCACACACACACACAGATGTTTAGTTCAATTTAAATGCGGCCTTTGACGCAACAGGGCAGAGTCTGAATTACAAAAGGTGAATCCACCCGAAATACAAATTGACTCTTTGTAAATGGCAAGTAGCAGTGAGGGAGAGCGAGGAGGAGAGGATAGAGGGAGGGTTGAAGGGAAGAGGAGGAGGAAGAGCGATGATGGAAGAATGCAGGGAGTGCGTTAGCAGGGAGGAAGCAAAGGATTAAAAAGAGACAAAAGCAGAAACAAATGGCCGAAGTCATATTTCATCTTAACACGTGTGTATGTGTGTGTTTTTCTTTATGTGGCTATGTGTGCGACTCTGCACGTGTGTGTGTGTGTGTGTGTGTGCGTGTGTTTCATTCATCCTCACTTGTTCTTTCTATTCTCCCCTGCATCGATCTGTCTCTCCTCTCCTTTTGTTTTCATTCTTTTTCTTTCATTTCCCTCCTTTTCCTCAAAGGACAACTCACCTGATACACAGAGATCAATACACACCTCACACATACAAAAGCTTTCAGGCGTACACACACACACACACACACACACGCACACAAAAATACACACACAGGATCTGAGTTGTTAGTATTCTGGTATGGGAGGCTTTTTGCTTTGTAGAGAGGAGAGAATATTTTCTTTTGAAAGGCCTGATCTATAATTGCTGCACAGTGTTGAGACATTGCCCTGCTATTGGCTTTGTTTTCATAGTGATTTATTACATTGAAGACATTTTCTCAGTTTGAAATGTTATTTTCTGACGTTTTGACTGACTGCATGAGGCAGGGATAGAAAGTGAACGAGGTTTAGAGATGAAATTAAAGTAAAAGCTCGGTTGACGTTTTAGTTTATAAATGGAATGAGACAGACTTTGAGTAATGGCGGTTTTTCGAGTTAAGTAGGGCTGAGAAAGGCCCGCCTCTGTGCCAAACATACGCGAACATATGTGAATATACCCAAACATATGTGAATCGAACCCAAAATTTAGATCATCTAATAAATTCCAGGCTGCGTTTTTCAAAGGGAATTCCACCTCAAGGACAGCAGAGAGAGGAGCAAATAAATGGACTTGAGCAAGCAAGAGGGAGAAATTGTGGATGTGACCTTACAAACACAATATAATTGTGTTCATCTTATGTGGTCATAATGCAATACTGAAATGTGAACCTTCGGGGGGTTTTAAAAGTCCCATGCGTGACATTCAATTCCATTTGAGTCTAGAGACAGACAGAGAAAATAGAGAGACGAACTGAGAGAGATAAACGGGAATGTGTGCTTTCAGCAGATCAGAGAAGAGTTTCATTAAAGTTTCTCTCGTTTACATTTCTGCCCGACGGAGCTAATTATGTTTAAAAGACACACACAACACACACAGAAACACACACGCTGTATTTCCATAAAGTTCTCATTACTTTGCGTTCTATTTCCCTTCTTCCCCCTTCCTTGCGCAAATTCATTCGTGTCAGTGTACATGCGCATCTGTGTGTGCTTCCCACCACTTGTGTACTTAATTACGTGCGATGTCTCTTGCATTCTGTCTGTGTGTGATTGTGCGTGTGTGTGTGCGTGTTTTGTA